TTTCCCCCCTTTTCTTTATGGAATTTCCCCCCTTTTCCCTCCATTTCCTCATGGGATTTCCCCCCATTTCTTCTCCCGCAGCCCCTGGAATGTTCTGGAAGCTCTCCCTGGATCCCTCCCTGCTCCAGGGGAACATTCCCGGGATCCCTCAGGGCAGGTTAATTCCAGGCTGTCCCGGGATTCCCGCCCCCATTCCCTCTTTCCCGGTTATTTTACAGGGACAGGGATTCGCTGCAGTCCCGGATCCCGCCGTTTTCGGCCTTCCCAAGGGAATATTCCGGAGCTCCCACGTGCTCCCGGATCCATCTGGGATGTTCCGCCTGGTCCCGGGGTCTCCACATCCCACAGAATTCCCTTGGGATGCTCCCGATCCAACCCCGCTCCTGCCCCGGGGGGGTCCGGGGTCTCCACGTCCCTGGAATTCCCTGGGAATCCCTGGAATTCCCTTCGCCCGGGCGGGGTTTCGGACCAAGTCCCCTCTCCCGCATTCCCAGGATTCCCCCTCCCCATTCCCGCAGCTTTCCCAGGCGGGATTCGGTCTTGGCCGGCGCCGGGAACAGCTTGGGAATGACTCACCTTTCCCGGCGGGTCGTTAATGAGCCGCTAATTAGCGCCTAACGAGCCGGAGCGGCTCCCACCGGGAATGGCGGGATCGCCTTTTCCCGGGATCTTTTCTGAGGGAACTCGATTTTTCGGGATGGAGGGAGCCCGTCCCAGGAATTCCACGACTCCAGGGGCTGGGAAACAGGGATAACGGCGGGAAAGACCCCCCTGGAGGGAGATCCCGGATATTCCGAAGGTTCTCGGACACCGGGAATTGGGGGGTTATTTTATTATATTATTATTTAGTATATTATTATATTATTTATATATTATTAAGAATAATTTAATTATATTATTATGATATATTATTTATTAATATTATATTTGCTAAGACATTGTTTATTATTATTTATTATATGTTATTCGTATTATTATATAATTATATTATATTTAAAAATTATATATTATATATTACACTCATATATAATATATAATAAAATTTATAAAAATAGAATTAAATATAATTATCCCTTAATATATAATTATTTACACTAATATGTAATTATTTATACTAATATAAATTATATATAATTAATTACGGTGATATATCCCATATATAATTATTTAAACTTATATATATAATGCATAATGTATATATTTCAATATTTATTAAATCCATCAGATTTCCACCCAAAGCAGGAAAACCCAACCCTCCCCCCCAAAAAAAAGGGAATAAAAAAGATTATTTATATATTTATTTATCTATTATTTACTTATTTATTGAATATTTAACTACGATTTTAATCTCTATTTTTAGCTCTATTTTTATATCTTTAACCCAAATTTCAGACCTTTTTCCCCCCTTTTTAAACCCCAAATACCCCCAAAAAAATCGCTGACTCAGCACAATTTTTCCCCCCTCCCCCCATTCCCAGAGAAATTTTTTGAGGCCAAAAAAAAAAGAAAAAGGAGAAAGAACCAATCCGAGCTCCAAAGCGGTTTTTGTTTTAATTGGAGAGGGTTTTATTGGCAGCTGGAGAGAGCCGGGACTGTACAGCTGGTCTGGTTTGCAGGGACCAAAACACAAAACCAAAAGCCGGGATCGACGGATTTTTCCGGGTTTTTATTCCACTGAAACGGAAGCGACGCCACCGGAAAACAAACGGAAAAAAAATAAAACAAACAAACAACCCCAAAACCCACGTTTTTAAGCCCGACCTGAAAATCCACGGCCGGAAAACCCCCATTCCCGCCGGTTTTCCGAGCCCTCCGGATCCGATCCCGGCTCCCGGGGCTGTCGGGATCCGGCCCAAAAAAAGGCAAATTCAAGTTTTGGAGTCGAAGCAACGGGAGGAGACGGGAAGATCCCGGGGGAAGATCCCGGGGGAAGATCCCGGGGGATGATCCAGGACGGGCGGGGGGGGCGGGGACAAGGATGGACACGCCCCCCATGGGCTCTGATCTCAAGTGATTAATTAAGGAATGGCTTTAATTGACCGGGTCGGCGCCACCGGTTGGGGTCGTTTGGGGCCAAACGGGGGAAATGAGTTGAATCAACATGCAAAGGGTTGGGCTGGCCCAGCACCAGAGGCCGCGGCTCCTTCGGCAGCGGCACCTTCGGCGTCGTCAACGTTGTCAATGTCATTGTCACCGTCAATGACGTCACTGCCAATGACATCATCACCCCCAATGTCGTCATTGTTGTGGTCAATGTCCCCATCGTCATCATCACCGTCATTGTCAATGTCGTCATCAACACCCTCCTCACCCTCACCAATGGTGTCACCATCGTGGTCAACGTCAACGTCATGGCCATTGTCAACATCATCACCGTCACCAAGTCATTGTCAACGTCATCGTCATGTCAATGCCATGGCTGTGTCATCGTCATTGTCATCCCTGTCATTGTCATCACCATCATCTTCATCGTCACTGTCCCCGTCATCGTCGTCATCTCCGTCCCCGCCCCCGGTGCCACGCCCCAACCCAACCCCCAACGAGCCGGAGGTGGGAATGCCGAGCCGGGACCGCCCGGAGCCGGGTCAGGACAACCCAACCCTCCCCAAACCCCCCGAAATTCCCCGTTTTCCCGCCCTCGGGAAGACGCCGACGGCCCGTCCCGGGAGCCGCCCCCTCCCTTTCCGGCGCCGAGGTGTCCCGGGAGGTTTGAGCCGTGGGACAGAGCAGGGGGTGTTTTTTGGGATCGGGAGTGGCGATGGAGTTCGTGGGGTGGGAGGGGGTCGGATTCCGTTCCTCCCCCTCTTGTGTCCCTCTCCGGGCCCCAAAGGCACTTTCACTCCGTGCGGAGGATGATGTGGATCCCTGAATCCGTGAACACGGGGCCGCTCATCTCGCCCGCCCGCAGCGCGAACGACGCGTCCTCGAACGGCTTCTGCATCTGCCCTGCGGAGAATTCCCAGGAAACCGCGGAGTCAGGGATCCCGGGGGCTCCGGGGAGGAGTCAACCCTCATCCCAGGAGGGAATCGTCCCCGGATCCGACCCGAGTCTCTCCCGGTGCAGCCCGAGGTGTTTCCTCCCAGCCCTCGGGAGAAGGGAACGACCCCGACGGCTCCACCCTCCTTCCAGGGGATTTTGGGGACAGAAAATCCCCGTGGAGCCTCCTTTTCCATGTTCTCCAGCCCCTTTTCCAAATTCTCCAGCCCCTTTT